AGCTCCGGCAGCTCGTCCTCGAATAGGTTAGGTCATCCTCGTCCTCGCCGCTGCGGTCTCCGGTATCGACTACACAGATCTCCGGGGGTGGTCCGGCCCGGAGGCGTCGGAGGAGACGGGCAGCAGCCCGGGACGTACAGCGCTCAGTTTTCGACTCCTCCGTACAGGTGGCGCACCCGGAGGGGCATCGACTCATCTTGACCTCCCGGGTCTCCCAGTCGATCTCCGGGTTATGCTTCCGGAGCCAGGAGTACCCGAGGATGAGCTTCTGTTTGCCTAGCCGGGTCACTGCAAGAACCACCCATTCGGTGTGGCCTCGGTAACGTAAGATGACCTCAGCGACCTCCCGGATGCTTCCGGCTTCGTTTGGGGAGCCCTCAACATTGTAGACCGGGATGGGTTGCGACAGCCGACGGAGGGGGAGCTTGCTCTGCGCGGCATACTCCGTGTCGATGAACTCCGACGTAGCTCCGCAGTCTACGAGGCCGTTCAGCGACAGTTTAGAGCCGTCAGTGATGGACTCGATCTCCAAGGGGAGGTGGAGAGAGTTAGCAGTGGGCTCCGCGGCGATCGTGTATCAGCTGGTACACTCACATAAACGCGTTTTAGGACCGTATCATACCGCGGCCTCAATGCGTTTTATGTGGGTTGTTACCAGGGCTTATATAATCTGAGCTCGGCCAGTGCCCGGCAGGTTTTCCCTGTTGCTGGGTGCCCTCCCCAATGCCGTCGGAGCTTGAAATATGCTTATGCAGCCACGTGACTGCCCTGCAGGGGAAAAAAATCTTATTTTACACCCAATATTAGCCAATATTAGGGCATTATGGGCTGCCCCTTAGCCGTTAAAATTGATGGCACTCCGGCCATTGCCTTGAAATTGATGGCTGTCCGTATTGGGGTGAAAATTGATGACCCCGGCCATTCCCGTGAATTTGATGGCTTGGGCCATTGCCTTTAAATTGATGGCTGTCCGTATTGGGTGCCATATAATTAATGGCTGTCCTACATATTGGGTGCCATATAATTGATGGCTGCCTGTATTGGGATGCAATTGATGCTTGGTTGCTCTGAAAGCCCCTATTTGGTCAAAAAGCGCCGGCTTTTCGAAAGTATTTTGCATTTTGCGGCCCAACCAGGCCACCAATCAAAAAATGGTATAGATGAGTCTTGTAGCCCTTGATGAGCTCTACAATTTGGCGATCACTTTCCTTTTTGGGACACCAACACTTTCGACCCAAAAAGGAAATTTTTGACATTAGCCCTTCCCTGGCTCATATTTCAACCGTTTTGGATGATCTAACCACATAGGGATGTTGTTTTAGGTTCTTTGAAGTCACTTGGAATACATTAGGGCCTACTACAGTGCATTAAATGGGTAAAATAAGCGAAATCAATAAATTGGGTCCTGGCCATATTATCTGGGGGATATACCAATAGAAATAACTGAGGGATGCATTAACATGTTCCCTCATGCTACCCAGACATCCTCCAGGTGATGTATCCTACTCTAGCTAACAAGAACATCACAAATTGGAAATCTAGGAAAATCGCATTTTGGCCTTATTGTGCACTCCTCATGATGTGATAAATCCCATTCAATGATTGTTAGCATTAGTACATTCAGTAATATTAGGAAAGTGGACAATGGACACCTAGGGTACCTCATCCTTCATCATTTGAAGTGATCTTTTTGACATTCCTGTTAACCCTATTCAGGATGCTATAAGGCTATAACTAGTGTTTTGGAGCGACCCAATGAATGTCCCAACCTATTTCAACATTCCTGATTCAATATGTTGAGCAATATACTATAATAAATGCCAATATTGTCAAATGGCACATTTTGCTTATTTCTTGAATAGGGAACTAAGGAGACCAGATATCGCAAAATGAACATTAGCAATAAATTCAGACAGTAAAACCGACTCAGACAACAATTTACTTGAAGTGTTTTGGTGAAGATTTAACTGAATGGTGTTTCCGAGGATATAGGTTGGTATGTAACTTTTACACTGGTTCATCTAGTTCTGGGTTTTCAGAACTCAACAACCACCTGGCCAAATCATGCAAACCTATATATTTTCAGAATCCTCTGAGCTACTAGACTCCATTCATATAGATTTTGGAGCTCCTGGATGACGTCCTGAGCCATAAGATGGGAAATAGTCGAAAAATGGTTTCTCAGATTATACCATGTTGAGTAGGTATAAAAGTGGTTTCAAGTGCCCTAAAATTCCTTTGAGCATCCCTAATACATTTGTGATGCACCTGCACACATGTACAATAGTTGGGACCAAGTTTTGAAGGTGAAATGTCTCAAATGTAAAACTGATCTGCCTGATGTTTTGAGCAGTAGGTCAACATGTAAGTTCATCCATTTCGAGTTTTTAGCTTGAAAATGGATTTTTGTACCCTATTTCCAGACCATCGTACCTGTAGCAATACGGTGCTGGTCGCATTTTGATCTCCCATCAATATCTGCTGTGGCAGCTCCCATTCAGGGCTATATGTATGGAAGAGGGTTAGAATACACTCAAGGATGATATAAGAAGCAAATTCAAACATTTGGCTGGTCGCACAGGGGCTGGGGGCATGTGGGGGCATCAGCAACTTTCATCAATAAAAATATTGAATTAGCAGGATGTAGCAACAGTACAATGGTGGTGCAATAGCTCATAAATGCATTTGAATGTACAACCAACATATGCTGAAAATTATCCTGCCAATACCTGGCTAGAAACCTGTGAACCAGCGATTATTTCCTTTTTGGGCTGCTAGGCGTAGTGGTCCCAATTTGGAAAGTAGTGAATGGTAGCCCCAGAACAGAATGATTGGGGTGCACAATGATGATATTTATAAGGCTGCAAATGTTACTGGACAAGTAACCTGCCCACTGAATTTCCAGGCTGATTTTTCTGCCAAAAAGCGCCGCGTTTCGGAAAGTATTTTGCCTTTTTCGGGCTAACAGGTGGGTTTCAGCCAAAATGGTATTAGACAACCATGTAGCCCTTTTTCCGCTCTACAACTTTGATTTTGCTTACATAATCACGTGATTTGATGGCGGGGGGCACGCAGGGCGGCGGGGGTGCGCACCCATATCAGAAAACGTCCTGGGACCCCAGCACATTTTTTTCTGCTTTTTTTTTCTGTATTTTAGCTGTATTTTATGGTATATTTCCTTTTGGGAGGTGGCGCGCCGCCCCCGCCGTCGGGCGCACGGTGCCCGAACTGTTTTCAGTGAGTCACGTGAAGTGGCGGGGTGCTCGGGAACACCCTGGTATTATTTTGAGGTATTAAGTAGTAATTATAGGGTATTTATTGATTATCCACCCACATAAGCCTTCCCCGAGATGCCCGGAGGCTCCCTGGCAGGTATCCCTTGATGCCGAAGCCTTTGCCATGATGCCGAGGAGCCTGAGGCATGCCGGGAGAGCCTGACACAGCTCTACAGTGGCTCGGAAACAGCCGAAATGGCCAGCCCACATAAAACGCATTGAGCCTGCGGTATGTTTACCAGGTAAAACGCGTTTATGGAGCCTTATGAGGTGTGTATCGCTTCGGAAGTTTGCGTTCCCACTTTGGGGTTCGCGTCCGGGGGCGAGCCAGAGCAGCCGGAGGTTCCAGAGTTGGAACAGCCGGAACGGCGCTACACGGCTCAGGGGGTGTGTCTATCATTTTGTCGGATGCAAGAGATGTATTGTCAGACTCGTTACATAGGACAGCAAAACGATTACGGGAAGCGAACGAGGGCGCACCGCTCACTTGCCGCTGGTGGGAAAACCCTCCTGCTCGGCGGAGGCAGCGTGCTCTGCAGCGGCCTCGGTCGAAGCCATCCGTGCGAGGAGCTCCTCGAGGAGGTCACCCTCGAGTTGCCGGATCACCTCGTCAAGGATATCAGCAGACCGGACGTCGACCGGAGCTGTGCAGTCACGGGCGAAGTGGTCGCCTCGCAACAGAAGCAGCCGCAACGGGGTGTGTTACGTGCACGGGTGTGGTCTACGTCCATGGGGACCGGAGGGGGAAGAGCAGGAGCGGTGGCACGGGCCGGAGGTGCGACAGCTGCCACAGGGCGTTGGATCGGGAAGGTTGAACGCCCCGGAGGCGCCGGAGCACGCCCGGAAGCTCCGGTTCCGCCGGTGTTGCGTAGGCGGAGCCGGGACTCGTAAGCTCGGTAGGCCCGCTAGTGCCACACCGGGTAGTCTGTGAGGGGAGGAGGGTCGCTCGACCCGGTGATCGCGGCATTGATCGCTGGATCAAGTCCGGTCCGGTACTTGGTGACCTTGACGATTGGGTCAACGAACCCGGCGAGGTCAACGAGTTCCTCGAACTCGTCGGTGTACCGGAAAACGTCCCGAGAGCCCATGTGATAGGCCCGGGACTCGAGTTTGATCAGGGCGTGATCTTGCTCGTTTTCTTCCACGAACCGGAGCCGGAACTCGGAGACAAACGAGTCCCAGGTCGGGAACGGGAAGGCCGGCTTCGAGCCGTGGCGTTCGGCCCAGCGTTGGGCGGAGTCCTTCGCCATGTATGACATGGCGAAGCGGACGAGCTTCGGCTCCGAAGGCTGTCCGGACTCGAGGAACGTCTCCGGAACGAGCCGGGCGTACATCCGGACGGAGTGGAGGAACACTCGCCATCAAAGACGAACGGGGGGTTCGGCCGCAGGACCGATTTTGGGGGTGAGGTAAGGGTGTCTCCGAAAATCCCTGGACCCGGGTCCGGAGCGGCAAGGGAGGGGGCAGGCTGTGCGGCAGAGGGTGGGTTTTGATTTTCAAGAAGACTCAGGAGACGTGCAAGCGTGCCCTCGATCTGAGTTAGGCGATCATCCTCAGCCATATCGAGATCAGGAGCAGGGGCCTCGGAGGAGAGCTCTCCCTGTAGCTGCATTATAATGTGCACTGGCGGGGCCAGGAGTACACGTTACAATGCGACCATTTGATTACCAGGCCTGGTGCACATTATAATGCGCACCCTGCTTTAGCACAAAGAATTTTAAAAAATAGCAACAACAGGGATCGAACCCTCGACCTCGTACAAACCATAAGAGGAAGCACTATAACCATTAAGCCACACAACCATAATACCAGATGCTGTGGCCCCGGCTAGGTTACGGCAAGCCTTTAACCTACCCGGGGCTGCTAATACCCAGACCTAGGGCAGGCAAGCTGCCCTAGGTCTTCGAAAGTTGTTTGCAATGCTTATTATGTGTTTTGTTGATGTTCCTAACCCTAACCTAACCAAACAACACCTAACCAACCTAACCATCAAATGCTTACCAAACATCACCAACCACAAAATCATCTATACCTTGGACCTAACCTGCTAACCAACCCTAACCCTAACCTAACCAGAACCTAACCTCCTAACCCTAACCAAGGCCCCTAAGGCGGGGCCATCTGGGGCCAGCAACAAGCTAATTTTGTGTATTTGTGGTCTACCTTATCCCAATCAATTTGGGTAGCCTTTATTCCTTTATGGCTAAGTTGGTTATGGTGTTACTTGATTTGTTATGTAATGTTGTACCGCCCATGGGCTTTTGTTCAATCCCTGTTGCTGTCTCTGTTTTAATTATTTTAAAGGTGCACGTTATAATGTGCACCGGGCCTGGCAATCAAATGGTCGCATTGTAACGTGTACGACTGGCCCCGCCAGTGCACATTGTAATGCGGGTACCTGTACTGTTGCGGAGGAGGGGACAAGATTCGAAGTAGGGGAGCCCGGAGCACTGTCGGAGTGGTCGGAGGGGGTGGAACTAAACTTCGCAATCTTGGCCGGTTAATCCCTGAGAGAGTTTCTTCTGCTGTAAGGGTAACCTCAGGGCCCGAGCGTACTCAAGAGCCTGGCGAAGGGGATCCGAAGTTATATATAAATAGAGCTAAAGTACACGAGGCACGAACCTGGCGAGGGGGATCCGAAGAGAAGAAACTCTGAGGATTCCCATGCCGGGCCGTGGGTATAACTACCAACTAGCTAGGAGCACGTGCCTACGGTGATCCGGTGGTTTGGGAGGGCCCGGGGGCACGTGACCGGAGGTTCCGGCAGAGGCCGCGGGCCTTGTCACAGGCCGAGTGCCAGGCGGGGTCAAGGTGACGGTTAAGGGAAGGGCGGAAGGGAGTGTGGGGAGGGTTTCGGAGGGTGCCGGAACCGGAGGTTCCGGTACCGGATCGGCGCGGACCGGGGGTTCCCCTGACAACTGAATTCAACTCCATCCCGCTGCAGCCCGAGTGTTGTCTCAATGACAGCATTATCAATATAATGAAAGTCGTCAGAGTCGTCTTAGTAGACACAATGGAGGTGTTAGTCAAAAAATCTGCACCACCCAAGTAATACCGCTGATTGCCGGCGGGATCCGAAATGATTAAAAACAGGCCATTTTGCCCGACTTATTTAAAAACTGGTTTATAAACACCGGTTTATAAACCGGTTTACAAACCGGGATTAAATACAAGGCCCTACTCAAGCGGCGTGGAGAAATCGACGGTACGCACCTCGTTTCACATGTTTGTCAGTCGTGATTGATACTTGAATTTAGGGGACCGTCTCTGGCTCGAAGAATATCTATTCGGCTTGAACCCAAACGATGACACGGAATCTACTCTAATTGAACAAGATTCTGAATGAAATTCGGGCTACATATGTATGGTTCGCTATTTCTTTGACCGACGACGAGACTTCGCTCTGCCTAATTTACTTTCTTTAACTTGCCGCCCACCTTATACATGCACGCCCCCGTTGTATCTGGGACTTTTCATATGTGCTCACTTTTTACCGCGTCGTATTCGATCAACGATATTCACTGAATGCCAGCGAATTGTCTGCAAGCCGCACCGTTTATGTGCGTCCATTTTCCCTCCTTTGAAAGTTTAGTTTTCGCGAAGAAAAGTCAAATTGCCTTGATTTGACCTGATCCCGGCAGCCCCTCAATAGCATAAATAGATCAACAGATTAGGCACGGGGACGCCTTGTGGAACGCAGTGTGCACCCGCCCCAATTAATATTCGATTTTGAGGAAGTCGGTCCTGGAATTGCTTAGAGAAGAGGTGCACTGTTATATTTTTCCTGTGGGCTTTCACACGAGAGTTGGAAAAAGGAAACTGTACCAATTGGTAATGACACAGCCCCGGATCGAACGGGGCCTCCCGACACCCTTGTTTCAACACGCACACAGTGGGCGGGCGCACTCTATGTGCTACTGGATCATTCTTAACCCAATGTGTTCTTGATTTTCATTCCGAGTTCGTGGTATGCATGTGGATGGCGATTGAGATGACTAGGTTTATAATGGGGTAGCTTGGTGGTTAGATTTCGGGGAAGTCGGTCGAGGGATTTAAGCAATTAGTCTGCGCACTTTCTACCGATTTTTATTCATTCAAGAGAGAGAGAGAGAGAAAATATATCTAAACCTCTATGACCCCACCCCGATCTAAACGGGGTCCTCGGGCCAACATCTGGTACACAAAGGCTATTGAACGGTGGGCGGGCGCACCCCATGTGCTACCTGATCCACTTCCTTACCCACAGTATTCTTGAGGTTCATCCTGAGTCCATGCGTGTGCAGATATGGCGGCTGAGTTGAACTGTTCGCGGTCGCATGATGTTTCGGAAAATTGGGAAAGCCGAAGGGGAGCGGACTGAAAGTTCCTAATCATTTTCATCCGATGGAGAGAGGACCAAAAAAACCATTGCATCGGAGCTTTCTGTCCATGACCCGGCCCCGGATCGAACGGAGCCTCCCGCCAGCTTTATATTTACCTGACGACGGTTGGCGGGCGCACGCCGTGTGCTGCCGGGTCCAAGGGGGACCAAAGATAAGAGATTGCCATATGGGGTGGGGGGGGGGGGGGGGGGGGTCTGGCTGACCGCCAGAAAAAAAAAATTGTATGTACTTTTTTTGGGGGCCAGATATTGACACAGCTGCCTCCAGGACTTGCAAAAAGGTCCTCAGGTCCACATGAGCATCACATGTGAACCAATACCTTGTTACACTGGGATCAGTCCTCACTGATCCTGCTCTTGCCAAACACGGTCGCTGTAGGGTACTTGCATTTTTAATTCCTCGGCCCTGCCGGCTTATCAATATCAGCTGCCACCAGTTTCACTTATTATCATATTGCAACTTTTTCTGCCATTGCCTACTCATGCAACTTATGTTGAGATTCAAGCTTGAAGTGGTCACTTATACGGTACATATTTCTTATTTTAATACCTCTCCATGATACCCGAGTGTGGGTCCATATAGACGCTGTAGCCAAACAAACATGTCTCAGTTCTTGCATTCGCAGTACTGAGACGTGAGTCCTTATTTATATTCGTTCTAGCTACCTACTGACATTAGATTAGTTCTGCTATATTCTAGGTACTTAATATATAGTTCTTGCATTCGCAGTACTGAGACTTCTGCTATATTCTAGTCAGCTTCATTCGGCGCACTACGTTTTACAACTTATACTTACTGTCAGTGTTAAGAGAACCCATTTTGAGGAGCACTTCCCTGAATTCTAAAGATGTCATAAGTAGAGCAAGACAGCAGAAACTTCCTCGAGAAACACATCTGATCGACATGAGCGTGGACGTGGGTATACGTGAAGTGTTCCAAACTGACATCCATCGCGGAACTACCCATGTGGGTGAGGGGTGACTTGAAGGTGAGGATTCCAGCTCTCATCTCTTGTCGTGTTAGTTCTGTAATTCAATGTCAATGTGTGCATGTCTCACAAAACTTCCTGAATAATTAGGCTTTATTCATGCAACAGCGCTCTCATGGTATGTCTGGTGCGGAAGCTTTCGGCAAGGGTGTTTCCCAAAAAGGGAATTTGATGGCATCAGGTGGCTGTGGGGAGGGGGGGGGGTCCACCGACCCTCTCAGAAAAAAAATTGTAGGTGATATCAATTTTTCTTATCTTTGGTCCCCCTTGGCCGGGTCTCTTTCTTCCCTGATACTTGACCTTCCTCCTGAGTTCCTGGTGTGCATATAGGCTCGACTGTACCGTACTAACTCGAGACAACTAGGCTTATAATAGGGAAGCTTGGTGGTTCAACTTCGAGCAAGTCGGTCATGGGATTGCTCAGAGAGGAGGGGCTCTGTTATTTCTTTCCTGCGGGCTTTCACGCGAGAGTGGGAAAAAGGAAGCATCATCACTGGTTATGACCCGAGCCCGAATCGAACGGGGTTTTGCACTTTGCGACATATCGACGGTGGGCAGCATCGATGTTTCTTTGGGGCGGGCACGGGGCCCAGGGAGAGGATCAAATGGCAAAAATTGATGTTTAGTATATATAGAGACAGTTCCAGAGCATTTCAATCAACATTACAAGCACTGCGTTTCCTGCCCCTGCGAAATATCAACACGGCGGATATGCGTGTTGATACCTCTGATATCATGATGACTAGATATTTCGGGTGTCGTCCAGTGGATACATATATCGGGGTCGGTAGCAACGATATCAGACGCTAACAAACGGATGATATCTATATCGAGAGGTATCGTGCACCAGCATGGTACCTAAGCTATCTGTTGGTGGATACCTAGGTGGATAGTTGCAATATCAGACGGTATCTAGTACCGGCGATGGATACATCAGATATCTTGCGCAAACCACAGCAGGATATTTTGAATACTCTGCGGGCGGTAATTGAACTCTCGAGCAACCTCAGTAATTCTTCCGAGCTTCATAGTATGTAAGAGATGATATTGATTTTCGAGGAGATGGTACAAGAATATACTGGTAATTACTCCAATAGTTTGCAACGGGGAAGTGTTGTGGTTCGATTTTGGAATTCGGAACTGGGCAAAGGAAACATCGATGTTTCTTTGGTGCGGGCCTGCGAAAAGAGAGGCACCGGAGAGAGGACCAAGTGGCAAAAACTCGATGCGAAACATATGACGACCCGGCCCCGGATCGAACGGCGTCCTCCCGCCAACGTTTGTCCGCCGCAAGAAACGGTATGCGGGCGCACTCCATGTGCTACCGGGTCTCCTCCCTCTTATACTCAGGCTTGACTAATTTTAATCTGGTTCCTGTGTGTGTGGATGAACTTATGCACGGGGGCAGCGCAATGAGGAAGGTTCGATGAATCATTCCGCTCTTACCTAGGAAATCCGAGTGGGATATTTGCTGTTCGGAAAACTGGGGAAAGCCGAAGGGGAGCGGACTGCAAGGTCTTTATCATTTTTCATCCAATAGAGAGAGGACCAAAAAAATTCCTGTTCCTCTCTCTCTATGACCCGGCCCCGGATCGAACGGGGTCCTCCCGCGAACAGCTATTTCCCACATGTATACTACACACACGCACGGTGGGCGCAGCGGCACTCCATGTGCTACCGGATCCACTTCCCTACCCAGAGTATGTATTCCTGATGTTCTTTCTGTGTTGAGTCGTGAGTGTGCATGCATGTACATTGTGGATCTACATATAGAAGCGCCCGTGATCGAGACGAGACGAGATGCAACGAAAGCAAGCAACAGCACAGCGATACTGCGGTGGTTCAATTTCGGGACGTTAAGCAAACGGTAGGTATCTTTGCTGGCGTGCCAAGGAGGGAGATGGGGGAAAAAATTAGTTACATAAAATGTTTTCAAAATCTTAAATCAAAGACCCGGCCCCGGATCGAACGGGGGCCTCCTGCTTTCAATTTCTTGCCATTCCACCAATGCTGGCAGGCACACACCATGTGCTACCAAGTCTCCTTCTTCCAGTATACTTGACCAACTTCACCCTGAGACATAGGCGGAACTGTGATCGAGACGACCACGGGAAAGTCCGGTGGTCCAACTTCGAGCAAGTGTAGACGGACCTGCGATTGAAATGTTCAGGGTCGCAGTACAATAAGCACAAGGTTCGATGTTTGACGTTCAGGGAATTGGGCAGAGCCGCAGGGGTGCGGACTTCAAGTTCCTAATAATTCTCATCCGACGGAGAGAGGACCAAAAAAAGATTGGCCTCAGAGTTTCTGGTTCTGGCTATGACCCGGCCCCGGATCGAACGGGGCCTCCCGCCAGCTTCATATTTACCTGTTGACGGTGGGCCGGCGTACCAGGTCTCATCACTTATTCGATGTGTTCTTGGTGTTCTTCCCGGGTTTTCTAGATCTGTATACAGGTTGACTAGGTTTATAACAGGGAAGCTTGGCGGTTCGACTTCGGGGAAGTCGGTCCTGGAATTGCTCAGAGAAGAGGCGCGCTATTATACAGCACCTTTCCTGTGGGTTTTCACACGAGAGTGGGAAAAAGGAAGCTGCACCTTTTAGTTATGACCCGGCCCCGGATCGAACCGGGGCCTCCCGCCAGTGACATTTGTTCCTGCAACGTATATGTACTACGCATAGTGTGCGGGTGCATCCCGAGTGCTACCGGATCCGTTTCCCTACCCACAGTTTGCCCACAGTACTGTATTCTTGATGTTCATTCATTCTGTGTTCGAGAGTGAGTGTGCATGGTAGATCTATCTAGATGCGACCGCGATCGAGACGAGATGCAATGTAACGAAAGCATGCAACAGCACAGCAATACTGCGGTGGTTCGATTTCGGGGAATTCGGCTAACGGTAGGTATTTTTGTTGGCTTGTAAAGGAGGGAGGGAGATGGGGAAAATTTTACTTATGTAAAATGCTTTCAAAATTTTCAAAGACCCGGCCCCGGATCGAACGGGGCCCGAGTCCCGCTTGGTATTGAACACCTTCGAGTTCAAGTCAAATTGGAATTTCACTGGGCGGGTGCACACCGAGTACATACAACTTTAGTAGCATAGGCGTTCGGCCCGTTGGCCGAACGCCTACTTGCCGCGTGAATGCCTATCGCCTGTGGATCAGCCATCATACATACCATCAATGGCGGCATTCCAAGTCTTTTCTTCGACAACTTCTTCAATATACCTGGGGACCTAACCAGAACACCAAACCTAACCAAACCTAACCATTCTAACCTAGACTTAACCCAAACTTAACCCCCCGCGCACAGTGAATACAGAGTTCGGTGAGTTTCGGCAGCCACCGGCAAATCGATGCGTGATGCGCTCAATCTGATGGATAGGCGTTCGCGCCATCAATAGGCATTCCGCGCCATCAATAGGCGTTCGGTCAACGGACCGAACGCCTATGCTACTAAAGTTGTCGTGCCTCGTGCACACCGTATGCTACCGAGTCTCGTTCCTTGCCCAACAACTGTTCTCCCTCGGGTTCACCCCGGGATGACTGCGCACTACAATACTGAGAAATCTGAAACAACTGGGTCGAGAAGTTATCATCGTGGAAGAAAACTCAGGATACATGTAAGTAGGTTCGGTGGTTCGACCTCCAGGAAGTCGGAAGTTTGAAATTTGAAACTCCCGCTCCCACAAGGCTTTCAGCCTTTCTATAAGTAGAGAAGAGCCTGATTTTCAGATTTTAGCCGTGCATCGGACATCCTATTTTTTTCGTCAGCAGCTCTCGCGTAAACACCTATTGCTTCGGCCTGCCGTGCTGCGGATGATTCAATGCCGCGGCCGCGGACAAGGCTCGTAATGATCAATCCTGCTTGCGGAATCCGGAATCCTCTTCTCCACGGGCCTATTGGTTGTGAGTTATATATATGTTCAACGCATACCCTAAATTCGCAAGGAAATCAGCAAAGAAAAGCGCCAAGGAGCCAAGTGGGGAATAGTTGGTATGTAGGCCGTTCGACGAGTCTCAGGGTACAAATTTCGGCCGTAGGGATGGCGTGTGGGACAATTTAGGTGATATATTCAACCGGAAATTGGTGGTACGAGACTACGGAAGCTTCCGTATACTCCTCGTATTACGGCGAGCCGTCCGTCGTGGAAAGCAAGAGTACTTACATGCTATGTCTGAGCTTATCCACTTGGTGGTCCAAATGGATTTGGGCTAGATTGTCCGTCGCTGCTGTCCTTCTGGGGGTATGTACTGCAGCTGAAAAAAAGGTGAATAGTCGGCACTCAAATCTTGAAGATGTAGTTTACTTCGGAGAAAAGAAGTCTACCTCCGAGGTAGTCGGATCAATTGCCGAAAGCACGGATCAATGGCTTACACCCTTGATCTGATTGCGAACTATACCCACTCCACAAAGACTCCACGACGGGCATACCCCGCCGAACCCCAGTAACCTTGCCCGTCCCCCGTGAATAGACTACTTCCTTGTCTCAACTGCAGCCTCTGGACTCCTCTGAAGCGTGTATCACTGCTGTCTACCGAGCTGGAGCCGCAAGCATCACATCAACATGTGTGGAAGTCGTTCTATAATATGTTCCTGAAACGAGATGGAACCCCTGTACTTGCTCTGTCTGCGGGCTGCCTGTTAATCAGACTCTTCAAGTTTTAACACCGTCGACCTCCGTATGGATCCCTCTATTCCCCTCTTTTAATTCCGAACTCGACGCCTCTACTCGTCCGAGTCGTATACGACATGCTCGCCGCCCTCCATGCCCCGCTGTCCCCCTCCAATCCCGCCACCAGCAGCGCCCGACCCATGGCCACCCTCGCCGTCTACGCCCTCCTCCTCGTCTGCGCGCTGTACGCTCTGGTCCAGTTCCTCCGCCCCTTTGTCGCCCTCTACGGCCACCTGCGCCGTGCCCGTGCAATCGGCCTCCCCATCAAGCTCATCCCCTTCCCCCCGGGCCTCTTCTCCTTCTTCGCCTTCCAAATCCTGCGCAAGCTCCGCCTCCTCCGCCCCGGCACAAAGCTCCACAAGCTCCTCACCCTGGGCCGCCCGGACAGCTACGCCCTGCACGCCGAGATGGGCGACCTCTTCGTCACCGTGTCCCCCGCGGGCCTCACCCTCATCGTCGCCGACCCCGCCGTCGCCGCGCACGTCAACGCCAAGCGCGCCGAGTTCCCCAAGCCGCCGAACACCGGCGCGATCATCAACATCTACGGCCGCAACGTCATCAACGCCGACGGCGACGTCTGGCGCCTCCACCGCCGCGTCACCGGCCCCGTCTTCAGCGAGCGCATCCACGCCGCCGTCTGGCTCGAGGCCGTGCGCCTCACCCGCCTCATGGTCGCCTCCTGGGGTGCGCCCGGCCTCTCCTCCCCCGCCGCCGCCCCCGTGGTGCGCATCGCGAACATCGGCGAAGACACCCTCCGCCTCGGCCTACACGTCATCACAGGCACCGCCTACGGCACGCCCCTCGGGTGGGCCGACTCGCCCCCCTGCGCGGTCCAAACGCCCCTCTCGTACCGCGCGGCGATGGCGCAGCTCACCGCGCACCTCATGCCCATCTACCTCACGCCGCGCTGGCTCCTGCGCGCCGCGCCCGCGGGGACGGCGTGGGGGCACGCGTGGGCCGCGTACGCCGCGTTCGGGGGGTACATGCGCGGCATGCTCGAGCGCACAAAAGTGCGCCTCGACAAGGGGGAGGCGGCGCCGGAGGACGATTTGCTCACTGTGCTCGTTTCGGCGGAGCGCGATGGCGGGGGCGGGGGCGGGGGCGGGAAGGACACGGAGAAGGGCGGGCGGCGCATGCGCGCGGAGGAGGTGCTCGGCAACGCGTTCATCATGCTCTTCGCGGGGCACGAGACCTCCGCGAACACTTTGCACTACGCCCTCATACTCCTCGCGCTGCACCCCCCTGTGCAGGCGCGCGTCCTCGCCGAGGTCGACGCGCTGCACGCGCGCGCGGGCGCCGAGGGGCGCGGGGAGCTGGAGTATGAGCGCGATTTTGCGGGGGTGCGGTGGATTTTTGCTGTTATGGTGCGCCTCCCTCCCCCCTCTTATGTATTGTGATAAAGGGATAAGAGAAAACTGACGGCGGAGCGGTAGAACGAGACCCTCCGCGTGTACCCCCCCACGGGGATGACGAACAAATGGACCGCGGCGGACGCGCCCATCGCATTCGGCGGAAGGACGTACGTCGTGCCCGCGGGGACGCGCGTGTCGGTGAACGGCACGGGGGTGCACCTGAACCCGCGCGTGTGGGGCGCGGAGGCGGGGGTGTGGAGGCCTGAGCGGTGGATCGTCGGGCCTCCCTCTTCCTCCTTCTCTCCCTCTCCCTCTCGCTCTCGCTCTCCTTCGCCCAAGTCCAAGTCCAGAGAGGGCGAGGGCGAGGGCGAAGGCGACGCCGAATCCGAAGTCGAGAGCAAGCCGCCCCCAGGCCTGCTCAAACCCCCCAAAGGCACCTTCCTCCCCTTCTCCGAGGGCGCGCGCGCGTGCTCCGGGCGCAAGTTTGCGAGCGTCGAGTTTGCGGCGGTGTTGTGCACGCTGCTGCGGTACCACCGAATTGCACTCGACGCCGACGCAGGAGGCGGACAAGGGGGCGGGGAAGGGAGAGGGGAAGGGAGAGGGTGGGATGAAGCACGGGTACGGGGCGTGCTGGCGGGGCGGAAGGCGGGCGCGGTGACGCTGCAGCCGCCGGAGGTGGTGCCGCTGCTTTTTGTGAGGCGGTAGGGCTGCTTTTATGGCGGTGAGGGGAGGAACATTCTATGGTACCCACACACGGCGGCGGACTGGACTTGGCCTTCGCGGCTCTCTCACACGCTCACTCCGATGACATTTAGACTAGGGCTTCTATGGTACCCACCCACACACGACGGGCTGTTTTAATCGGACTTGGACTTGGACTTCGCGGCTACTTATCTACCTACCTACTCCTGCTCGGCTACACACTCGCTCACTCACTCACTCCATGACATTCATTTAGTACTAGTATACATAGCTGCTTTCTTACTTACTTATCTTTGGGTATAGTGTAACGT